TCGTTCACCGATCTGGGACCCGATCGTCGTTTGGGTCACGTTTTAGGTGGTCACGATTTATTCTGCCCGTGACACTATATACTTTTTAAAAAAATAAAGATTTTTTTTTTATAAATAGTTGGTTTTGCAAATTTTGAGTTTATTAAAGTTCTGTTTAAAAAAATTCTATTTTGACAATGCTTAACCCTAGGAAAAAAAGACAAATCACTAAAACTAATACCACTAATACCACTAACACCAACTTCATAAGTTGCTTCTAGCGACTTACCAAAAACAAGAGCAAATGCTACCTTTACCTGATTTTTTTTTAAAGATGATTAAAACAATAATGCGATTACATATTGTAAAATTTGCATTCGGGAATTAGAAGAATTAGATGGAATTCAGGCTAGCCATACCCATATAGCAAATTGGGAAAAAGTATGGGCATTTGATTATGCATCTACGTCTCTTTTATTTATTACATTTGTAGTGAAATATAATATAAATTGAAATTATCATAATTTAACTGTAAAAACTCATGATTTCTATCATGCATCTCAATTTTGTCATTAGTATTTGAAATACCACAATGGTATGTATGTATTGTAATATCGATATATTTTTTACTAAACTAAATAAAGCTTCAGTATTACTGTATTAGGATAAATATAGATATACTAATGAAGAAAGTCTGAACCATTGAAAGAGGCTACGTATCGGTATAATATTATAGTAATATTATTTGTTATGGTAACGCATTATTACAGTATTGTGTTATTGCAGCGTAACGGCATATAATATTTACGTGCTATGCTACCACTGGTAAATTGCCGGAATTCAATAATCCAATTATACTACCATCAACTATAGAATACATGTTTAGTTTACTTTATTGTTAAATTAGATTTTCATATTAGTCATTTTACTTTATTACACAGCACTTAGATTTAAATATTAAATAGTAATAAATTTTCTTAAAACTGAATGAAATTATTTTAAATACTAATAACTATTCTTTAGCGAATAGAAGAAACAAAAATTAAATTGCAAACAATAAATTAATAAATGTACTTTATATTCAATGTTAAATTAATGCGATTAAAATAATTATATTAAATATTTTCTTATATAGTTTATCTTATACCAGTACGATCACGTTGAATGTGTAACATGAAATGTGATTCTGTTTAACTTTTTTGATGTTATTATTTTTTTGTACTTCTAAGTCTCTCAAGAACATTTTTTTTCTGGTTTAAACGTCTTCTAAAAAATCTTTTTATTTAATAATATGTTTCTATACTATGGTTTTCATATTTGTTACCAATAGAGCTTGGATCCGTTATTCGTTTTCTAAAAAAAAAAAATTTATTAAATAAATGATTCTATACTATTCTTCTCATATTTGCCACCAATAGAGCTTGGATCCGTTATCCGTTTTCTAAAAAAAATTTTATTTAATAAAATGATTCTATACTATTCTTTTCATTTTAGCCACCAATAGAGCTTGGACCCGTAATCCCGTAACCAAATATTTAAACCAATCAGGGTCATTTGAAGATGTAGCACTCAAGATCGTAAAAGATTCTAATAATAATAAAGATCCATTCTTAAATGAGGTATTTTTTAAGCATGTTATTGATGACTGCTCCCATTTTATGTCATCATTATTTTATTTATTGATTTTTTTTTTTTTGTAGCTTAAATTTTAACAATGGCCTCATTCTAAATAAAAAAGTTTAAATTGATGGCATAATATACGAATATGAGAAAATAGCATAGTCGTCAATAACTGCTTCATCGTCAATAACTATGTAATATATTTAAATAATTTAAATATAATTAATTATTTATTTTTTTAGTTAAAAGCTTGTCAAGCTTAGGACAATATTTAGGAATATCAAGAGATGAAAAAACGGAAGATTATATTTTAGTAACGAGTTACGCAAAACATGGTTCGTTAAGCAAAAATCTTGTTGATATCTTTAAGTTTGAATGGGAAATCAAATTATTGATACTTCATGATATTATATCTAATCTTGATCGTATTCATTATAAAAGATATTTACATCGAGACTTACATCAGGGAAATATCTTGTTAAAAGAAGATTACGAAGCATATATTACCGATCTTGGTTTATCAAAACTACCCTGTTAATTGTGTATATATCCTCCTTATTCTTAATTATCTCCATCTCTTCTAGCTTTCAAGGCCGCTTGTTTTTTTGATCAGGAACAGATGCAACGTTTATTGACATCTGCTTCCAGGCAGTGAGGTAGGATCTCCATTCTTCTGGCTAGCCATTGAGTCTGCTTTCAGGACTGTTAATCAGCATCTTTTATGTAGGTTCAATTCAATTAATTTCTTTCAATTTGGCCCAGAGATTTTCATTTGTTAGAAGTTTGAGACAAACTGACATGAGTCTTGTGTCTATCATGTCCGATATCACCGGAGCGGGGCTTTCATTTTAGTGGTTGCTGAAAATTGAGTATCTTGGTAAAAAGTGACTTATTTTTAATCCAGTTTGTAAGCAAGTTATTAATTTCTGAAATTTGCTTCCTTAGTGGTTGTTAAATATAGACTGTGTACCATATTTTTGGAGAGATAAATCGTTTTCGCTATGAGTGTTCGACAAATTACTATTGTTTTATTTATTGTTTTTCAGGGATCGGGGATCCTTATTATCTACCTCAAAACCTAAGATCCAGATCGTTTGGTCTTCTTTTAGGATGTCAACATTCCCCCTAGAAGGTTCGTATCTATCGCGTTATCAGTAAGTGGGACTAGAATTTTATTTATTTTCACGGTTGATGCTGGCTTATATTGTATTATTAATTGAATTATAGTATTCCAATTGTTAAATCATCCGCATAAGCTTATATATTAAGCTGGAGATTGTGTACTTTTATGCTCGTTTTTTCTTATTAATTTCTCTAAGTGAAGGTTCAAATGTTTATATTCTTTCAATTTGAAGGCTTTCGAGAGATGCCCATCATCGGTAATATATGCTGCAAAGCAATTATGACCTAACATGTAGATACATTTTAATCCTTTTTTTTTTTTTTTTTGTATCCGAGTTGCGAAATGTTACCACTGTGATGTGAATTTAGGATACCAATTGGGGAATTATTAGAGTAAACGCTTTTATGACTTTGAATTATTTTATTTCGGGAGAAAACACTATATGTGAACAATTTTTATATGAAGTAGAATAACAAATTCTAACTATTTTTATTATTCTAATATGTCTTTGCGTCCTTCTCATTATCGCTATTTCTCGAATACCAAATACGGAAATTTGTACTTCAAAAGTTACCGCGGTATATTTTGGGCTGATCTTGCGTACGTACATACTTATATAATGCCGACAAGTCACCATAATTCATCATAATATGAGCTAAATTCTATATAAGTTTCCAAAATGTTCCTGATGCTCATGTAATTGATAGGGTTATATTTATCAGAAAAATTAATATGGGTAAATGTGTATGTTATTAGAGATTGCGCGGCATGAGGCTTGGCTTTTTCGTCGGATCTTCACACTTTTATTTATAATATTCATAAACTTATCTTGTGGTTCAAAATCATGTTACGTCGGGGCTCATATCATAGCTTGCACCTAAAAATTTGCATTAGGGATGTGCAGCATGATGGTCTGATGGTATCAGTTTTATCTGAGTAATTTTTAGTTAACTCTAAATAGTAGCTTATTAATCATGTATAAAATATAATTTTTTAGGTTTTCAATAATTTATTATATTTATCATTCACAATAACAGATTCCAGTTTATGAATATTCGAACATTTATCTTTATTGTGGTGCAAGTTACAAGATAGAAATAATTTGAATAGTAATAATTAGATGTCAACCTTTGTTAATACAACAAAGAAAACATGAACATGTGATGGAAGCAAAAAGATCATACAAAAAATCTGATTATGCCAGATTAAATTTGCCAGAAGCAAGTAATATCGGAAGACAAAATTTTTTTTAAAATTTATTAAATTGTTTATTGCACAAATTTGGTTGAAAGTAACATATTTGCGTAATAAACAGTTAACAAAACTTTAAATAAATCTTATTCTTTGAAGTTACTTCTTTCTGGCAAATTTAATCAAATTCAAATTCTTGTTTTCTTATTTTGCATGTGTGACAGGTTATGTCAATCACCAAATCGAAAGATCATAAAGATCAGAATTAAGTGCAGATTTTAATTTACTTTATATTCGATAATTAGGTAACACATATAACTAAATTTTCGTGCTGAAAACTTTTATTTAGAAGTCAGACTACGGTTATCATAGTAAAATCTTGAGTCATTTACGAGTTTTCTGTTTTCTCAATGTTTTTTCGTTTTCGTTTAATCAGCCAATAAAAATTCAAGGATCGAAAATCAGTCAGATGATCGTGTCTTTGTGCCACTATATAATTGTGTGTAAACAATCGACGTGTAATTAATCAACTCTCAACTTGAAATTGTTTTTCTATTCTACCTTTTTTTAAAAAAAAATTTTCCTTACCAAATGTCTACAGAATTAGTAAAATTTACACAAAGATACCTTGACGCCATTCCCAGTGATTTGTGATCTCTGGAGAACTTTTTTTCGTGCGTTGTTTTAAACAACAATAATTTTTTTGAGAAAACAAAATTTTTCAGTCCTTCTACCGTTCTTTAGAAGGACTGAAAGAAAATCAGTTGCTGGATCCAGAGACTGAAATCAAGGTCAACAAAATCCTCAATACAAAAAAGGTTAGTTGAAATATTTACGCAGAGCATAAACCAAATTTTTGGTTATTACAAACTTAAAAATTTTGCTTATAGTTGTATTGGTGTAAAAAAATTTTTAATTATTTCTTTTTTTTTTTTGTTGTATAGGCGGACAAGAGGAAAATAGAAAAGCTATTTCCTCTCAAGAACATAACGAACGAACAGAAAGAAGTCATCGTCGCCTCCCCTTCGAAAAAGCGCAAGACTAACAATTCGGTTTCGTCAGCTGGACTTCGTGAGGAGCTCTGGAAATGAACAGTGGGGTGATTCATAATTAACATGTTTCGAAAATAAGAGCTATTTTGAAAAATTGAAGTCAAAAAAAGAAATAAGAGTTATCCGGAGATGAAATGAGGACCTTTTTTTTTTTGATGATTTGTTGTCGTCGTATGATATCATCGTAATAAATTAATAAAGAACTAAAAATTATCGGTTAAAATTTTTTAAAAATCTTAAGTAATATTACATATTTCTTTCCAAATTATTAATAATTAATATGCCCCTAAAAAATTTTTAAACAAACCACTAAAGAAGAGAATTTGAGAAAAAACCATAAAACTTGATAGTTTTTTTAACGAATAGTAAGATATCTAATTCAATTGTTTTTTGCAATAGTTCTAAGAGTACATCGATTTCTTTTTCTTTAATATTAGCTATATTTTTATGAGTACTATTAGAATATTCTTATATTAATACTTCCAAAATACTATTTATGTTTTAATATGGAAAGAAAATTCACGATCATAAATAAATGTTCTTTATAATGATATAATATGTAAATTATAGATGCGATTTCATAGTGATCGAAATGGTACACAAAGTACAGTATTATGACATAATTTTAGCTATTATTATACCATTTTAAATAAAGTCAAAATAATTGTATTGATAATAAAAATTCATAATAAACACTTGAGCAATACTTTATTCTATAAATTTTTGATAAGTCAGTTAAAGACAAAAAGTTTTTGACTGAAATAGTAAACTCACTGAACATTTTTTACTTTATTACTACTGTATTTAAAATATTTCACATCTCAAATCTCGTGATGTACCGCCCCGTAATTCTGATCGTACTACGTTACAACTGATATTTACTCCATATATAAATTGCTTTCTTTTTTTTTTTGTTCCCGAAAATGATAAGTTTGATAAACTAAAAGTGACGACCCTTTTTTAAGAAAAAGAGAGTATGTAGCTCAATATCTAGCAGAAAGCAGAGATGAAAAATGCAATTCTAAGGCCACGCAAAGTTGATTTTTTCATTTTGCATTACATGGATTTCAAAATTAGGGACGAGAGACGGATTTTTTTTTTTTTTAATCCAATTTATTGCAAATAGAATAATGATCACATTTTAGGTTATATTTGCACAACAAGGAATCAAAAAATTGGGCCGACAGTCATATTTTTTCTGTCAGTCCTATCGGACAATTGCGGGAAATCAAGGTTTCCGTCGGGTGATACCGGATGAAAATAGCGGGAAAAAATAGATGTCAAAAATCAAACAATTGGCACAATTGGGATCTAAAAAAAAAAAAAAAAAATTATTTGCAAAATTGAAAAAATGAGACGGCGGGTAATGCAAAACGAAAAATCAACTTTGCGTGTCCTAATAATATTAGTAAGTGAAAGTTAGTAATTTTATAAAAGGCCTTTAGTTTTATTATTACATAAGGTAGTTTCTTTTTCATACTGACCAAAATTCTCTACTGTTTTATGTTTTTAATGTGAAATTGATCTTTACGAATGTAACAAGGAAATGGTTTTTTAAGGCGGTCAACTACTAAAACTTTTAATTAATTACGGCTACCTACGTATTGGTGTGATGTTTGGAGGGATTGGTTCACTAATTTTATCAATAACACTAATCAAAAGCTACATTATAATATGTTCGACGGATGCTATCTGATTAAGAATTGGGGTGTTCTATCGATACTATGATAATCACAGGGTCAACAATTGGTTTGTCAGTTAAACATTTTCCTCTAATTATTCACTTTTTTATTACTAAGTAACAGCCGGTACTTTCATTCCTTTAGATTATCGCCTAGATTTTAAATTACTCAGTTACGCGCATTATATAACATACGATTAGACTTTAATCATTTTCTGATTTTCTGAATTCCCAGATGATGAATTATTCAGTGATACTTTTCTATATTTCCTAATGACGCTATACTAGAAACTACTAGAGACAATATTTCTACTTTGGAAGTTCGAAGTTTTTGAACTCTATCCAAGCTGACTTTATTGGTGATAAATTTTGGTTTCATATATAATAAATTTATTATTATTATTATTTACATTTTTCTTTACTATTTATCGTCTACTCTACTTTAATTTTTAGATCCATTCTATTTACGAGATTTTACGGATTTAAATTTAAGAATTAAAAAATCGCATCTCTTCCGGTTGGGCTAATTTCGAATCTTATGATGCATCACTAATCACGGAGGCACATTCAAGGACAAACTACAACGAATTTTTTACCATATTCATATTATATAAATATACAAAAATTTTTAAGAAGGCTAGATAACTCCATTTTCGTAATAATGACCGACCGTATTTATTTCATCATCCTCTTCTGCAGATTTTTGATGACGCTTGAATGTATTCTTTCCCGTTGGAATCTTCAGATCTAACTTTATTTCTCGTTCTTCCTTTGATTTTTGAATTACCTTGGTCATTTGAATTAACATTCGCTTTCTCCTTCGTTCTTGATTTTATCCATTTTAACACTTTCACCACGATTACTTTTTAAATCATCGAACCTCATAAACTTTACCATACCATCCAAATATGTATAGTTCTTCTTTTTCTTCATTCATTGCCTTCATTAGCATTCATTTTGCTACTTTTAGGTACCACCATATCACGTTCTGATCATTCATGCTTCATTTGATCCAACAATCATGAGCTAAGCATCCTTTACATCAACACAGTAACATAACCGAAGTCTATAACAATGTCGAATCAACAAAATACGAAAACACCCACTACTCAACTACTGAACCTACACTCTGCCATTGAAAAATGGTACCTACAAGGCTTCTCTCTAACAACATGCATTATGTAATGTCATGATTCACACCTTAGGGTTTTCTCCAACCTATCCTA